AAAGGATAGACTTAAGAGTGACTCCATGGCCTCTGAAGGCAGATCTCCCTCAGACCTCCATCATTGCTGCTCAATGATGGTCAAGCAACAAAACTAGCCTGGGGGAAAGAAGAGAGTTGTCAGCTCTGGGTTTGATTCTCTTGTCCTTGATCTGTTTCCACTTTCTTCTGGAATATCTACTTTCATGCCTTCAAAGGAAGAGCCATCTACATTCCTCTCAAGGCTCTTCTTGACAAATTATGCTAAAGGGAATGAATCAGAATCAGACCTTGTTGCACACATGTAGATGGGATGTAACTGGCTAGTACAGGTGCATAAGTTTTCACTCCTTGGAGAAAAGCCTGAGGGCTAAGAGATTAATTTCCAGTTATGAAATTGGTATCACCTAAGAACAGGGCAGGGAGAAAGCTATGATTACCTGTCCTCTTCCATGCCAAGGAAACCACAGAGGTATAAAGTGGTTGCTAACTGCTTTGCTCACTTATGAAAGAAGTCATCGTACCCTTAAGGTATAAAATAGTTGTAAAGGATGCACATATTTACATTTTAAATGAAAATGCTTAGAGTGGAAAAAAACTTTTTGATCTTGGAGTAAGTCAATATTTTCAGGTCCTCTGACAGTAAATTTGCAGAATAACCATAATGAAGCAATACTCTGAAAATTAACATGACTTTAAACTATGTACAGGCATCTAAGGGAGATGATGTGCTTTTAAATGAGAAGGTGGTTTGATTTAATGCTTTTAGCCCATATACCAAAAATACAAAAGACAATTGTCCCTTCTGCTTGCATTTGTCCATCCTAGACATATTAGTTATTCAACAAATAACATTCAATTCTAGCCTAGAAAATAATTGAGTTTTTCTGTGGAGCTTCCAGACTTTATGACATGAGGCTAGAGAACCTAAAAACCAACAGAGCAGGGGCTCTAAGGATTTCCAGGTTTACACAGTCTTATGTCCTACAGGTTGGACCAAAATGCTCTCAGACACACAGAAAAATAACATTGCAAGTCAAACACCACCAAGTCTAATTAATGATCTTTGTTGGGTTGTGGGGGGATCACAAAGTAGAGTTTGTTTCTGTTGTCATTGTTTATTTAGGTATAATTTCCATACAATTATACATTTTCAAATGTATAGTTTGAGTCTGCCAAACTGAAACAGTCATGTAAGCACCATTGTAAATGAAGTTCCATCACATAAAAAGTTCCTATGGCCCTTCACAGCCAATCCCCTCCCCTAAACCCAAGCTCTGACCACCACCAGTATAATTTCTATTCTCATCAGCTTGCCTTTTCTAGAATGTCACATAAAGTCACACACTGTGTAACCACTCGTGACTGACTTCTTTCACTTAGCAGCTAAATCTATTGGTTATATCAACATTTATCAATTCACCAGTCAAGGGACAATTGCTTTGTTTCTAGCTTTTGATGATTATGAATAAACTCTTACAGTTTTACTGATATGTCTTTCAATGGACATTGGTCTTCCTTTCTCTTGCGTCAATACCAAGTAGAGAGATTCCTGAGTCAGATGATATATTAAACTATAAGAAACTTCCAAACTGTTTTCCACAGTAGCTGTGCTATTCTTGCCAGCAATGAATGAGAGTTCTTGTTGCGTTGAGTTCTTGTCAACACTAGATGTGGTCATGTTCCTTAATTTGAGCCATTTTAATAATTCATAAACTTTTGATCCAGGCTGAGCCATAAAGTTCACCTTTCTGCTAGCTATATGTACTTGGTTGACTAGTGTCCTTTCAAAACTCACATTCACTTGGGGCCTCAGAATGTGACTTTATTTGGAACTGGGCTCTTTGCATATGTAATTAAATTTAGATGAGTTTGCACTAGATTGAAGTGAGTCTTAATTCTAATGGCTGATGTTCCATAGGAAGGCAGCATGAAGTCACAGAGACACTCAGGAGAACACCAAGTGACAGTGGAGGCAAAGAGCTATAGTTATGCTGCAACAAACCAAGCAATTCCAGAAGTCCTGAAAAGCTGGAAGAGGCAAGGACAGATTCTTCCTCAGAGCTCCTGCAAGTAGAATGACACTATCAACATCTTGATTTCAAACTTCTAGTCCCTGAAATTGTAAAAGAATAAGTTTCTAGTCTTGTAAGCCTCCCAGTTAGTGGTAATTTGTTATGGTCACCCTAGAAAACTATTGTCATGTATACTATTTATGAATACAGTGATGCCAAGAAGTTTATAAGGTTATATTTGACTTATACAAAACTTAGTGAGGATAAAAGCATGGCGTTAGTATGAAATTAGTTCTAATAAGTATAAATATGCCATTATAAGTCTAAATTACTAATATGCATAATGGTTCTTGAGCTAAGCCTTTGACTATTGACAACTTAACATTTTACTCATTGGGCTGAAATTCAGCTGAGTCCAAACTGGTGAAGATCTAGTGTTTACCACAAATTCAGATCAGTTCAGAACCAGAGTTCCAATGGATCCTGCCTATGGCTATTGAATATGTGAGAACCACCTTTTGCAGAATGTCCTCTAAGGGATTAGAGATGGATTTTCTTTTAGGTTAGTTCTTTGTGACACAATGTATCAACCTTAATGATTTTTTAAGTTATAAGACAATTTGTGTATTTCCCCTATCATGGTATCTAGTTTAACAAGATTTCTATTAGAGGTAGTCTTGGCTGTTCCATGAAGAACAAATCTTATTTCAATATTAGCACAAAGCTCTTCTAGCCCCTGAGGAAGAAGTTAATTCAGCCCTCAAACCTCTATTACTTTGGAGTCTTTAAAAGGCAGAAGGACTTCCCCACCCTATCCCAAAATCCAAGGGGAAAAAGTTGAATTATCTGTTTCTGTATTTCTCAGAAACATAGTACTAGCTCAGATAGGATTCTACTAATTCAAAAACATAAAGGAATAGTTATAGTAGTGATAGGCTGTAGTTTATATTCCGAGAGCTTACTGAGTAGCTGTTGCAACTGGTAAGAAATTGAAATAACAGGCAAGAAACAGATGTATGGGTATGATTTATGAACATTTACAATCATTCCTCTATACCATTTAAACCAGATTTTCCCCCATTACCAACATGAGCTATATTTCAAGCCTACCAGTTGATCAACCAGTTGAGAATTATATGGAGACCTAGGAGGGATATTTTGACATTTGTTGACAGCTACACTACACCTATTTCACAGACAGCTGGTGTAATACAATCATGATTTCCTTTAAAGTTTGCACAGAAGGCAGACTTTTCTCTGAACAGAGTCCTATTAATATTCAGTGACCCAATTACAAGACAGGCCTGTTTTCACTACTCCTGCTCTCTGACAAGCATAAGTTGTTCCTTGGTTTTGAACACAGAATTGGCCTATGTGGGGGAAAGAAGAACTTATAAAGTTGGACCACCTCGTTCCAAGGTTGAGCAATTTCAAAGGACAGGGCTTTGGTGACTTGGAACAACCTGTACAATTTCATTGTCTTTGGATCTGGCTAAACACAGAAACCAGCCTTCCTCTTAATCTCCATCCCACGTGTTAGAAACTATAAATCCAAGTTATTATAAATGAAGGCTGTGGCTTTGTGCCCAAATACCCTTTGGGATGGTGCCCAAATACCCTTTGGGATGGTACCCAATGAGCAGGTAGCAATAGTTGGTGAGGGACTGTCTCTCTGTTAGAAGCTTAAGAAAGGCTATGACCAAAACATCTGTCTTGTTTAATTAATTAACATTCGAAATGTCTATTCCTTTTATATCTCCAACCCACCAGACAGGGGACATGCACTCCAGATGGGAGGCAATGCCACTGTTCCTGATAAGCTCCTACTTTTACCAGCTAATTAGGTGTTGAAATTTAAATTATAGCAATCAAGCAGATATTACTGCCCATTACAAGACAGAAATTAGAACTCTATCTAATTAGGTCAGAATTAGGATTGGGAATTCTGAAGACAAAGCCTTTCATAGCAGCTAGAGGTCACCGCTACCATTTAAGGTAAATACAGTTGGGTTCAAATTGGCAAATTATGTACCTCGGGCCTAAAAATATCATTGGTTACAAAATAGAAAAGAAAAATTAATTCACCACAACACAGGAACAGAAGAAACAGAACCACTGTCAAACCAGAAACGTCCTGAAGACTTCCTGAAAAGAGAAATCAGGCCTGACGTTTGTAGTTTGATGCATCTTTGGAAACAAAGCTAGAAGCAGAGTCTAGAGCCCACGTGGGACCCTCAGCTCTGCTGTCGTGCCCCTCTCTTTCCCTGTGCAAATTAACCTAATCCAGGGGCTGGCGTGGTTAAATTGGAGCGTTTTCAGGTGCTACTGCCCCGTGTGACGCGTGGATCCCGCCGAGACTTAAGTTGTAAAAACCTGCGGACACCAAGTTTTGTGCTGCAGAGTTGATTAAACAAACAACTCCTTCCTGAGGCAAAGCTCATAACACCACCTCTTAATGAAGAGAAGTAATTAAAGAACAATCCAGTGTCTCATGGACATCGTCGGATGCTCAGGTGTTCCTGAGCAAAGCGTGGGGTATGGGGTCACCTGCAAGGGATCAAGAGGGGAAAACTTGAGATAAGAGATCAGGTAAGAGCACGAAGGTAGCTTTTAACAAAATCCGAAGGTGAGAACCCACCAGCCACAGGGGTGGCGCAGTATGGTCTCAGGGCATCACTGAGATGACTTGCGTCTGGAACAGGCACACTGCAGAAAGGTTTCCTGCGAGGCCGGGCCTCCCAGCCGGGCCCCTCCCTCTCCATCCTCCAAACCCACACCGCTGCCGCCCCCGTTCCCGTTGATTGACAGGCGGCCCAGCTACTGCCCGGAGCCCTGCTTGCTCGGGGCCGAGGAGACACTCGCGCAGTAGCCAATGGGAGCCAAGAAGCGGGGCGGGCGGCGCGCGGCGCGCGGGTCAGGTGCTCTGCGCTGAGGCTGCGCGCAGGTGAGCGCTGCGGCTCGGGGGGCGCCCCCAGCTCCCGCCAAGTCCCTCTGTGCCTAGCGGTCTGCGGGACGCAGCGTCCTCCAGGACCTCGCTGCATTGCCGCAAACCCCTACGGACTGCAGAGGCCTCGCTGCAAGGGTAAGAGCCCGAGGGACTGGGTGGTTGCCTCCTTTGGGGAGCCCACACGGCTCCTGAGGCCCCCAAAGCTGTCCCCACGCCTTGTCCCTGCACACCCAGTGAGCCCCCATTGGAGCTTTCGGTGGGCCTGAGGCCTGGGGAATAGGGATCGTACCTTAAATCGCCACCCTTCTCCGTGGCCAGGACGGAATCCACAGGAAGCCCAGGCGGTGCGCCCCCACCCACTCCTTGCCGAGCACCTGCTTTATGTAAACCAGCTCCACTTTGGCCGTTTGACTGGTGCCCCTGCCCTCCAGGTTCCCAAGGTGGTGGGGAGGTGGGGTGGGGCGGGGAGGATTGGAAAGCAGACCGGGGAAATATGGACTCAGATCTAGGGATTCCAGGGTTTTGCGCAGCGTTTGTGCATGGAAAAGAAGGAAATCTGGGATTCCTCTCATCTCCCCCACCTGCGTTTGCCACTTTATGTCATCGATGTGATGATGTCGGTTCTTCTTCAGATCTAGGCAGCACTTAATAGTTGCTTACTTTTGTTTGCCCCAGGAAAACAGTTTGTCTCCTGTTTACTGCAGTCACGGAATTTTAAGATGAAAATCAGGTGTTCCACATAGTTGATTCCCTCTTAGCGTTAAATTTTATTTGGCTGATAACAGATTTCCTTGTGTTAAGCAGGTGGGAGAGAAAGATGGGGGAGAAAGGAGAAAGAGAAGGAGCCATCATCCTCTGCCACATGTTAGTGAATACATTTGTAGTTTCCTGTATGCAATTCCTTATTGCAGCTATTTTTTAATGTTGCTTCCAGAATTGGAAAAAAAAATAGAGCCATTTAAGAAATCGTTTTAAATGTAAGTTTTGAGACCCAGTACCTGAAACAATCTCAGTTTAATGTCTAGTTTTGGTGAAATCACAATTAAAAAACAAAACAGAATTGCTGCCTGAACGAATACACAGTTTACCTATAGTTTGTGCTTCTGAACACAAAGCAAGCATGCCAACTAGGTCTTGTTTACCTCTGTCATATAATATAGGAAGACAAGGCAGGATCTATTTTTGAGATACAAAAAAGGCCAAACTGTGTTCAAATTACCAAGGTTTCAAAAGCTGAAGAAAGAGATTTCTTTGCTCAGCATATGGTTAGATCCAAGTTTTAATGAGCTTTTAAATCACCCTTCTATAAGATAGACAGGAAAGGGGGGAAAAAAACCAAAAGATCTTGCTTATATGCAAGCCTGATGAGAACTAACAAAGTTTACAAATGATGGTTTATCCTCAAATTAGCATCCATGAATAAGATAAAAGCTTTTTAGAAATATATTCAAATTTAAAAAACAACCTTGCTCCAAAGAAACAATCCAAGGAAGAGCTTTTTCTTCACATATCACTGACAAAATTAACTGCTGACTAATTATACACTAGAAGGTCATCATCAAATTTCACAATTAGGTTTCTATTTATGACAGTTTAGAATCTAATTGTTTAGAGTACAGAAAGCTCTGATTTGATTATTAATACACAAATAGATTACATTTCACAAATACATTTGAAAGTCACAAAACTTACTTTATCTTAAGAAACCAAGTTCATCTGTTTTCCCTCTGATACTTCTTGCCAGTCTAAGCATAGAGGTTGAAAACAGAAGAGTGTGTATATATATATATTTTTTTTTTTTTAAAAAGCACCATATTGGATTTGCTAATCCTGCTTCCTTGTTCCTAAGGTACTTTAGTTCTAGCCATAATGATAAATGTGGTCACATCTATTTGGGTATATACATATATTTCTGGTCAGAAATCTGGGTCACCCTGAAAATGTTTCTAAAAAATTGTGTGTAATTCCTATCATATTTTAAAATGCCATTGGAGAGCTCATTAAAATAATTCCATGGCAGACTATTTTGAAAGCTTCTTGGAAACTAAAAATAAATAAAATGTTTTAAGCTGGGCTCACACCTGTAATCCTAGGCAGAGATCAGAAGGATCATGGTTCTAAGCTAGCCTGAGCAAGTAGCTCCAGTGATCCTATCTTGAAAATACTCAACACAAAAAAAAAAGGGCTAGTGGAGTGGCTCAAGTGGTACAGCACCTGCCTAGCAAGTGTGAGACACTGAGTTCAAGCCCCAGTACCACCACCAAAAAAAAGAGAAAAAGTTTTAAAATGCACCTAAAACTTCCTAGCTTTTATTTGTTTATAATGGAGTTCTTCCAGCTGTGAGTGATGATGTAACTGGGATGACTAAGCACTGTCACTCAGTTTGGGGTAAGTATACAAAGCAAAGTTGTTGTCATTAACGTCTTGATGTTTACTCCACAGAGTATCTTCCACTGACTTGACCGACTATTTTGAAAATGACTTCAAAGCCACACATGGTGTCTTTTGCACTTGCTGCCCTCACTCTTTCAACTGCATTTTCTCTCCATCCAGACCAGCAGAAGGTTCTCCTAGTTTCATTTGATGGATTCCGTTGGGATTACTTATATAAATTTCCAACACCCCATTTTCATTATGTCATGAGAAATGGTGTTCATGTGAAACAGGTCACTAATATTTTTATCACAAAGACCTACCCTAACCATTACACTTTGGTCACTGGCCTCTTCGCAGAGAATCATGGGATTGTTGCAAATGACATGTTTGATCCTATTCTGAACAAATCTTTCGCCTTGGATCACATGAATATTTATGATTCTGACTTTTGGGAGGGAGCAACGCCAATATGGATCACAAATCAGAGGGCAGGACATGCTAGTGGTACAGCCATGTGGCCTGGAGGAGATGTAAAGATACACAAGAGCTTTCCTACTTACTACCTGGCTTACAATGAGTCTGTTTCCTTTGAAGATCGAGTTGCCAAAATCATTGAATGGTTTACTTCAAAGGAGCCCATAAATCTTGGTCTTCTCTATTGGGAAGACCCTGATGACATGGGCCACCATTTGGGACCTGACAGTCCACTCATGGGGCCTGTCATTTCAGATATTGACAAGAAGTTAGGGTATCTCATACAAATGCTGAAAAAGGCAAAGTTGTGGACTGTTGTGAACCTAATCATCACAAGTGATCATGGAATGACCCAGTGTTCTGAGGAACGGGTCATAGAACTTGACAAGTATCTGAATAGAGACCACTATACCCTGATTGACCAATCTCCAGTAGCTGCCATCTTGCCAAGAGAAGGTGAGTCTGACCTCTACTCTGACCTGAGGCTAGGTTTGCATTTGCCCAGTATGTAAGTGAACAGGTATTTTCTGGTTCTGTGTCTTTAAGGTATACTTGCCTGTGTCACAATAGTATTCTGGGATTTAATCCTTAGAGTCTGATTTTTTTCCCTCTTTCCTAGAATATTGAAATTTATGCTCTGTATGTTTTTGGCAGTTGGTTTTAACCACTTTGCAATCACAAGGTATAACAAACTACATCCTTCCTTTGTGGAGAAACTGAGATGGGAAGAAACAAAAAAATTTGAACACAATTACAGTGATTTCATAGACGCCCTAAAGCCTTCAAAAGACCCTTGGTTAGGACTTGTTCAGTGGGGAAGCAATGGGATATTGAGGGAGAAAGCTCTTTTGTCAATCCGAGATTTATTTTTCTTATTTGTAAGTCAGGAAAGTCATAACAGTAGCTCTGCTGAAATCCTCAAACCAAACCTGCCACTTCAGCGTTGGCTCCGTTTTAAAGGCAGGTAAAGATTTACCATCCTGAGATCACAAAACAACTAGCAGAACATGACTCAGGCCTGCTTTTCTGAGTTATATTTTATCACTCATAGGGGTGATCTCGGTGTTACAGGAGAGAACAGATTTCAAAAGCTGGAATGTCTCACAAATGACACCTGGGCACCACCACACCTGGCTTCTTTGTTGAGATGTGGTTCTTGCTTTTTGCTCCATTGACCTTGAAAATTAATCCTCTTGATATCACCTTCCAGGAAGCTGGGATTATAGTTGTGCAGCACTTTACTTGGCACAGAATGGTGTTCTTTTGTTAGAGTATAGTAAGTGGGGACAAAGCCCCAACAAATGGATTTGAGAAACAAAAAAAGGATTAAAGCTGGTGCCTAGGAGTGGTGTGTTTACATTCAAGATAGTTCTGTTGAGAGCCTTCCATTTCCAAGCTGCTTTCAGCCTCCAGGCATCTTTTCCTAGCCTCTACCTGCTGCTTATCCACGTTTTATTGTCTGGTGATTCTTTCTCTACACCATAACTACCAGCTATGTAAACCTGGCTCCTTGTTTTTGTTTGGGTATTGCAGTAACCTACACATCTACTTAGTGTCACTAATTAATACGTATGTGGGTGTGTGGATGTGCATATGTGTCTGAATTGACGAGCAGAGATTATTTGTTCTATAAAAAAACCCTCTCTTAATTCTGGAAGGTGAATGAGGAATAAAGAGTGATTCTGTTTTCTTCTGAAGATTCTTTTCTTCACAGGGGTAGCATTCTAGTATAGCTGGCTGTATTTCATGATGTTCAGCTTGCTGGCTTTTTTCCTCAGCAGGGAGTTTGTTGGCCAGGGTTGGTTGGTTGTACCAAGCAGAGTCTTATTCTGAGTGCCTCTCTCTCTCCTCTCCTCTCTCTTTAGGTAAATTCAATGAAGTCTATGAGGCGCTTGCTGACGCTCATCCTAACCTTACCGTTTACAAACAAGAGGAGGTGCCAGAAAGGTGGCATTACAAACGCAACGATCGAATTCAACCAGTCATAGCAGTGGCTGACGAAGGGTGGAATATTTTACAGAATAAGTCGGATGACTTTCTGTGTGAGTATATTATAGTGTTTCTTCCCATTCTGCATCGCTTTTTGCTAACATGGAGGCTGTGGATAATACAGCAGTTTACTTACTAGTGTTTTCACTCTGTTCCTTAAATGTTGAAGGAACCACATTGTATCAGTACTTAACCTAGAAATGTGTTTTTGGACATTGGTCCTTGATATGCTCATAAAAATGTACAGGGCTGAGGTTTTTGATCGGTGATACCTACTGTGTGTGAGGTCCTGGGTTTGATCTCCAGAACTGAAATAACATAAAAAGGGCAATGTACAAAAATGTCCCTTTAGGTAGAATTGGTTCCCATCCTATCATGTTTATTGACTAAAAGAAAAGCAGTTGCATGACAATGACATTTATGGTGTATTTGTGCCTCACAGTAGCAGATGTGTACAGGTACCTGGTTTCTAGTTCATAAGAGTTTGTACAAATAGATAGTGATTTATTAAGTGATATTTAATCGTAATGGGGATTCTGTTTTAAGAAAGTCTTTAAAGATGAAAATAATTTCCACCTTTGTATGTTCTTTCCATGTATTGTGCATGTAGCTCTTATGTTTAGAGGGATTCCTCAAAAGAAGAATGCTGTCTTTGAGGAGATTTGTATTTTACAGTCAACTTAAATTTAAGATGGCTCCCTAAAAATTTTGGTTTTGTGAACTGTACTTGCACAATAGATTGGTCACCTTTATTTTTGATAAAAAAAAACCTTAGTAATGCTCCTGTTTCTATTACATTATGCTATTTATTCAGCAAATGATTAAATATGGCTACAAACCTTCTCAGCCATTGTTCCACAAGATAGTTTAAACCCTACACTCCAAAAGCAGTGGTTCTCAGTGTACTTCCTAGCTTAACAGTATCTAAATCACCTGGGGATGTGATAGAAATGCACATTCTTGGACCCAATCCAGACCTAATGAATTAGAAATTGTGAGGGTAGGGCCTAGCATTCTGTTTTCCCATGGCCCCACAAGTCTCATACACACTGAAGTGTGAGAACCACTAGGCACTCATTATTAAATATTGTCTACTAAATCAAGCATTTTTAGTAGGGGCCACCACTACAAAACAGTCCCTATTCATGGGAAAGTTCTTATGTAAGTCATAATTATTTCATTTTACCTCTGATACTCTAGTAAGTGTTACATCAAACAATTCTCTTTGCCTTCGTAACTAGGAGTCTAGATGCCAAGTCATAGAAATGAACCCAGCAGCCCCTTGGTCAATTCTAAATTATATCACAGTATACTTCTTAACATGATTATCAGTTAATTAAATAGATTAGCAATTAGCATAGTACCCTGTCGGATAATTACTATTCATTTATAAGTCCAGCATTCTTTTTACTTGGATAAACTCAAAAGAATCACGGCACTTACAATGACTTCTCAAGGTGATTTTCCAGGCAGATTGCCTGGACAGATCAGTTCAAGACTTTCAGAGAAATTGTTTTAGGATATTCTTTTCTTGTATTTGTGTTATTGTTGCCTATTTCTCTGCAGCAAGCATAGGTTTTAGAATTTGATTTATGAGTCATTTTCCTCACACCTTTAAAGTCAAGCCTGACTTTAAGATGGTGACTTCTGAGGACACCATCTTAGCAGCATAGCTCCTGTCTCTTGCCCCCTGATATTACGCTAAACATACAGGCCTTTCAAATGCAGCTTTGCAGATGCTGTTTTCATACTTTAGTCTGTATCACTGGCTAAAAAGTTTTACCTTATATGCATCCACACTAAAGCATAAATGCTAAGTCAGATCCTGATCTGAGCCTCCAAAGTCAAGATTTTTCCACTCTATCTACAAGTTCTGACCTTGTTTTTTGGTAGTGGGCTGTAGCTGTAACTAAAGGTTTGATTTTTGTGTTATCTTCTTTGTGTTGTTTTTCTCCTCTTTTATTGGTAATTATGTTTGTTTTCATGATTAAGACTAAGAGCACCTTTATCTTTTGAACAATAATCAGACATAGTAGGTACCCAATATTATTTGCTGAATAATAGTTTGCCAGCCAACACAAAACAAAGCAGTCTACTCTCATTTTTTTCCTCACTTTGCTACGCTTTGCTCTGTACCCTTCCTTCTCTGCCATCTAAAGTAGTATTGGCCTATGTGAAAGATTTGTGATCATTTGACCTTTCTTTTCCTGAAATGAACAGCAGAGAATATAGAAGATTATCTTATTTTAAAGTCAAATTAGATAAAAATTTGCATATAAGTTCAGAACTTGACCGTTCGACACTTAATTCCATCCTGATGCCATCTGGTTGGCTAACTTACCCATGCATTTTCTCTTTACAGTAGGCAACCATGGTTATGATAATGCATTAGCAGAAATGCATCCAATATTTTTAGCCCACGGTCCTGCCTTCAGAAAGAATTTCACAAAAGAAGCCATGAACTCCACAGATCTGTACCCACTGCTGTGCCACCTCCTCAATGTCACCGCTATGCCACACAATGGATCATTCAGGAATGTCCAGGATCTGCTCAATTCTGCAACTCCAAAAGCAATTCCTTATACACAGAGTACCACACTTCTCCTGGGTAGTGACATACCAGGAGTATATGAGCAAGAGGAGTCATACCCTTATTTCATAGGGGTCTCTCTTGGCAGCATTATAGTGATTGTATTTTTTGTAATTTTCATTAAACATTTAATTCCCAGTCAAGTACCTGCCTTACAGGATATGCAGGCTGAAATTGCTCAACCATTATTGCAAGCTTAATGCTTCTTTGAAATGGAATTGCATATTGAAGTGGAGATTGCAAAATCATGTCAATGTTAAAAGTTTCAAGTTCTAGGAAGCAGTCTCGGACATCTGCTGAGGTCGTCAAGCAGTTAATCCATACTTCAGCACAGTCACACATATAACATGTACACACAGAGACAGACCAAAACACTTCTGCAAAAGGTCAAAGATACGAGAGTGTTTCTCCATTGTTCTCTCTAGCTTAGAAGGTTGATGAGATCCTGCTTTATTTGGACTTGGCACATACAATGTATATTTTTAGCAACTTTGCACTATTTACAGTACTTTATACATTGCACTTTAAATTACTCTCCTGGGTACTTTTCTCTGAAATGCACTTTATAGACAATTATGTCTATAACTTGGTGGAAAATGACAGCCTTTTGCATCCATATTACAGAATACTTGTATTTCACGTGCAACTGAAGGAAATGTCCAATAATTGCTGAGTAATGTAGAAATCTTATCTCCTTAAGTTGGGAGAACAAGAAGAAAGTAAAAACTGTTGAAGATTAAATGCAACACACTTTGCACCTTGAATTTTTGGGGCGATGCAGTCCCAGGAGCAGGTTGCATCTGTGGGCGTTGTTTGTTATGTTTCTTGTTCCAAAGGACATAATAGGTTCATATTTCTTTTTTCCTCCAAAGAGAGTCAAATGCTGACAGATCCATGCTAAACACACTGTTTCTCTCATTAAAGTTAATTATTGCTCTCTGCTGATTAGTCATTACTCTGATTTTCATAATCATGAAGATACTATGAATAGCGACTTCTTTTCTATGTAGTGCAGCAGTGGCCTGAAGCGCAGAGATCAGGCACCATCTCTGCAGCGTTTTCTCTTGTCTGTAATTATTTGCCTCTTTGGAAAGCTAAATCGCTGTTAATCACATTAAAAACCAAATGAGATAAAACAGTGGCTTCTTGGTTTGTTTGTTTCTGGTAGCATGCATCAGCAGAGCACAAACATCTTTTAGATTTGAAACTTTGAAGAGCCACAGTTGCAAGAAAACACAAACTTTAGTTAGTGAACTATAGGCCACTCAATCCTGGAAAAGAGGTGTGAGGAGCCTGGAAAGAGAAAATAGGCAGGGACCCCATCTGAGATCTGCATCTGGCACATTGGCAGAGGGTACCTACCAACAGCCACTAGTGAAAAAGAAAAGTCTTGGTGGTAACAGATATTGAAACAAAGAGTAGCTAAGATTATTTATCCCTATTTCCAGAAATATTTGAATACCCACCTGCCAGGTGTTCATTGGAATCAAAGATGAATCCACATTCAAGGACTTCTTACCACCCAGGTAGAAATTTCACTTGCCTGCTCATCTCAGCGTCTCATTGTCTGAGGGGTAAAGAATTTGGGGAGAGAAATAATATTACATATGGCTGCTTAAGAAGGCAGGCATGCTACCACTTGTGCCACTCCACCAGCCCTTTGTTGTGTTGGTTATTTTTGAGATGGGGGTTCTTGCTTTGTGCCATGCTGGCTAAACTGAGATCCTCCTATTTGTACTTCTCCCAAATAGATGGACTTGCAGGTGTACACCACCATTCCTAGCCATTGGTTGAGGTAGGTTTTGCTGGCCTTGAACTGTGATCCCCCCCCCGACTTTCGCCTCCCACATAGCCACAATTACAGGTTTGAACTACAGTGCCTGGCTGAGTCATTTTTAATTATTAAAATGATTAATTAACCTCAATAGTATAGAGTAGAATAATTTGAAATGAGCAATAGTTATTCTACCATTGAGGTTTTTAATTAATCACAAAAAAAAGCTGAGAAATTGGATGGTAGATAGCAAAGTTCCCCACCAGTCTGGGTTTGGGTTAACATCCTAAGATGCATGAGTACTTTTGTTGGCTTCCTTTGTAGTTACAAAGTCATCTGTAATATTGAGATGTCAGTATGATGACTTAAAGGTTATTAGTCCATCTCAAAGCATTACTGTAAAATGCTATCTGTGCATTTAAATTGTTGCATTAAATCTATGCTAGTATCTTAGAAGAAAGTACAGTCTGTGACAGTGATGAGAGCATTAAAATTCTGATATGAAGATTGGATTATTGAATGGTTTGTTTACAGATTTCTATTTTTCCTATAAAATATCAGCAGGAGAGGCTACCTGAAGGACAATAAAATTTTAAACTTCTCTGAGAAAATCTTATCACTCATGGCTCTTCTCTTCTGTAGCTTTTTTATTGTTTTAACTGCATGCTTCATGTCAGATTTTGTATGTAGTAAACACAATCTAGCATTTGGCGATCAAATTTAGCCAATCTTACTAACTGTAAATAAGGCTCAACGTGCCCCTCCTTTAGCCATTTTTACAACTTAATAATTGATAAGATTTTTCTTATTCAGTGTATGTTTCAGTTTTTTCTCCCTCTGACACCTTCCATTTAGGTTTAAATTGCTTTCAGAATGCTTTCTGGGTCTGTAAAGTAAAGTGAGCATCCTATTATTACTCTCAACTTTGTTTCTTTGAAGAGCCTATTTCTAGAAAAAATCTAAGGAAAGACCTAGCTCTTCTAGTTGTTAAATTTTTCCAGTTATTTATTAGCTGAGGGAGACAAATTTATTTGATAATCATAGAGTAGCAAGGTTCTCATGGATTATTCAACCACTTGATTTAACAAAGACCCTTGCAAAGCTGTGAAATGACTTTCATGACATTAGTGCCAGAGCTGGATTCAGAACCTAGGTTTCCTGATTCAGTTTATTCTCAGTCAAGGTACAGCCCAAGTTGTGACTTCCGATTCATTTTAGAGGGAGCCAGAGCAGGAGGTGGTTCACTAAGGCTTCTACCACTTTTGATCTTCAGCTATGCAAGCTTTGTAGCCTTCTTCCAGGCTGGCCAGTGCTGCAGGACAAAAATTCCATGAATGCTGGAATTTTTTCTGGTCAGAAAAAAATGTGCATGCCTTTCCTTACTCCTCTACAATAAGCAGAATGATAAGCCCTGGAAATGATGCAAGAGACTTCAAAAGGTCGTAAGAAGGCAGCAATCTAGTTAGGGACCCCAGGGCTGGAGGAACAGCACAGTGGCAGGGCTTCACATATTCCTTCCTGGTCTCTGCCTCCCAAGTAGCCAGAATTACAGGATTGAGCCACTATGCCTGGCTGAATCATCTTTAATAATAATACCAATAAAGAGTGTTAACACCCAATTTTCATTTCATTAAAAGCCTCTTAATAGTATAGAGTGGGATTACTGGAAATGATCAGTAGACCAAAAAAGTTGAGAAGTTAAACAGTAGGTGACAAACTCTCTACAAGTCCCTCACATCCCAGAAAACACAGAAGGTCAGTATTCCCAACCCCTGTCCCCCCTCCCCCGCCCCACACCAGGTAAGATGGCAGGCCAAAGGGCTTACTCCTTCCCTGATTGAAGAGGAATCTCCCTGCAGCATCAGGTAAGTCAATTTCATCAGCAAGAGGAATTAACCAATGAGGAGTATCAGTTGGGGCCCTGTTAAAAATAAAAGAAATATTCTCTTTCCCTGCCACCAGGACTGAGATTCTTCCACTGAGAAATATAGAGGTGGTAAGCAGAACCTGGAAGAGTGGCCCTGGTATGGGAAGCCTCTTTGTCCTCAATGCCCAAGATTCTCCTCTGCCCCAAAGTGTCAAGGATTGGGGGGCAGTAAGGTAATTCTTCTATACCATTCCCCCCACCACCAAGAAACAGCTGGCAGCTGGCCTAGGAAAACCTCTGTTTCCTTCAGGCAAAACCAGCAGATGCCAACAGAAACTCAGCCAAGTCACATAACCAAAGAAGACAGATAGGACACCACAAACACTGAAAATTAAGCCTCTATTGGAACCACCACCCATGAAATTAGGCCAGACCCTCATGCTAAACCTAATTAGGGTGGCTTCCTGCTAGGATGAATTTAAAGGCATTTTCTAGGCTCTGTAATAAAAAAAAGAAAGAAAAGACATACAAATTTAGATGGGAAAATAAGCCGGGTGCGATGGCACACACTTGTAATTCACTTGGGAGTCAGAAGTAGGGGTGTAGCGGGAGTTTGCTAGCTGAGATACGGGACTCCTGAGGCAATTAGCAGGAAGCAATGTTTTATTGTGCCAACACAGACTCAGCGGACTCATGTCCAAAGGCTGAGCCCCGAGAACAAAGGAGTCTCACCTTATAGACCCTTGCAAGCAGGTTACAGAAGCAAAAAGCAAGGTTTAATCCATATATGGTTATATTTAATTTTATTGGCTACTTTACCCTAGTGCTATGTGACTTTCCCCTCCCTGGTGCTACGTGACCTTCCTCGTGTTCAGATTCCTCAGGTTTATCTCTCTGCTATGCCATCCCTACCTCCCTGTACTTCTCAGGACTCAGGCCTAGACTGCTTTCTTTGATCCTCCTCCCTGCTACATTACTCCCCCTTTAATGCTTGGAGCCATTTAGGGTCAAAGAGCATCACCATAATTTAGGCGTTTGTATTTTTATAACATCATTACATGTAAGGCCATTTGTCTTCTTTTTCTCAAGCCCAATGGTTTCCCATGTTGGTCCCACCCACAAACATAGCATGAAGTGACATTTAGTATCTGGGCTATAGACTCAGCCAGTAAGAGGAACAAGTTTTTAGCTTTGGCAGAGATGGAAAATTCATTTTTCATCTCCTTATAAAAGGAGTGAAAAACTTGGTATGAGGAACTCTCGTGGGTAACAGTTACTAATTTGAGGAGTATCAGACTCTCAGGGTCAAGACCCTTTTATCTATTTTTATACTAATTAATTTTTCCCGTGTTTAATCAGATGACTTAGGTACAGTGAAATTTACAGGGTTACAGGTGCCATGGGTGCAGTTAGGAGCGGCTTTTCCCTTGTGGAGGAGAGCTGCATATTTTGTCCTTTGTTAAACCAGATCAGTAACAACAAGTAGTAATTATGCATCCTGCTCAAAAGAGATACAAGAGAGTAAATAAAAACCTTTTACCATGAGATCAATCAGCAGGGATGGTTTCTGCGAAGCCTATGGTGAAGACTAGGGTAAGAATTACAGCAGCAGATACAGACAAGGGGTGACAATGCATTACAGTGAAATAACTGGGGTGAAAACCCGTTTGTCCTGTTGGAGAGTTGACTCCTCAAGCTTCTGCTGTGCGTGCATAGACTAGTCAGCTTTCGTGGTGACTAGAGCAGGGCTGTCATTCTGTCCTCCTTGGTCCCCTGTTGTTTTCTGGGAAGCGGAGTCCTGCTGAGGGAGGGTGCTCAGGTTCTGGAGGGTGATCCTACATGGTGAAGCCAGATCAAGGATGCACTCCCACTAGAGAGAAAGCTAGCTTGACCTGACTTGTATGGTGGATCCAAAGAGCAATCTCTGCTACTTTAACTATGGTGGAAGTAGACAAGATAAAAACAAAAGGGCCCCTCCAATGGGGTTTTAATAGTTGGATATTTTATTTTTTCACCCAATCTCTTTTTTTTAAACTGAGTAGAATTACTATGGCAACAATATACTGTCAGTGTGTATGTCTAAGAAAACTCATTGTTTAAAAAAAGTGAAAACCACCA